CAATATCTTTATTTTGTTTATTCATTTTTTTATGTGGTGCTGAGGATTGAACCCAGTGCCTCACGCATTCAAGGCAAGCACTCAATCACTGAGCTACAACCCCAGTCCAAGTTCTGACTTTTTAAAGTAAAATACCATAAAAGAAAGAAGTAAAATCTATGAATAACTACATTCATTTGGCTACCAAACTACAATTCCATAGTTCTTTCCAAGCCATGGTGCATTCCAGCACAGAGAAACAGGTTGGGTCAGGAGAGAGACTCCATGAGCACTGTACCAATTCCTAGAGGCGGAACAGACTCACCTGTCGAAGATTAATATACACTGCATTCTGCAGAAATTCCGAAGCTTCCATGCTCCTCTTCTGAATTGCCAGGACACGTACAGCTTTGACACAGGCTTCCAATTCAATCACTCCAGCATTCTTGTACTGTAGGGTATAAGGGAGGCACCTCCGTCAAAAAACAAGTTTCTGCCATTTCACAACACAGCACGTCCTGAGCACACGAATCCTGCAACCACCTCGCCCCCGCCACACCAAGGTTCTCAGAAAGTATATCCTACATAAGGACAAGAGAGTTTCATGGGACTGGGTGAACATACAGTTGCCCTGTAAATACACTGGTATTCATTAAAATAATACAACAACATTAGCTTAATATTTTACAAAACTTCAAAATACAGGTTGAGGATGCCTTACCTGAAGCACTTGAGACCAGCAAAGCTTCAGACTTCAGGGTTCTCAGATGGGCCCCCTGGCTTGGACTTGACTAGTGTACTTTTTGAGCATCATTGCTAGTTAGCCCAGTTGGAATAATTTTCAATTGATGGAATTGGGGAAATTTTTCTTAAAATTGAAGCAAAGTTTGTAGAGGTGAAGCCCATGTGGATTAGTACTTAGGAGGACCTGAGAGGGGCAGGGATAACACACTAATATTCTTTTAGCAGAGGCGCTAACACGGCAATCAAAGCATTCGGGCACTGTGGACCTGAGTGGGCCTGGCAAGGTAGGACTGCTCCTAAAACACAGCCTGCCCACTTGCCAAGCTCAGAGAGCGAGAGGGAGCCAGTCGTCCTCTCACTAAGATCACATGTGAGGTGGGACATGATTTTTAACTATGGAGCAAGAAAAGCCACGTCATCACTCTCCCCTTCTCCACGCCCGTGACTCACACAGAACCTGTGACACACTACAGGCAGTTATCAAGGATGATCAGGAAAATGGACTACGTAAACTTACCTAAGACCACGCCTGAACTCAAAACTCTACCAACTGTGTACACCACTTAACAATACCACAGAGAATTAATGGAGGAATTTGATTCTGTTGAAATAAAATGAATACTTTTCCTTCAAAACTCTGAAATCGTTTCTATATAAGTGAGAAAAAAAGTGTCAACTTGATGTTTTTTCCACATACTTTTGGTTAAATTTACATGTTTTAAATTATATCACAAAGAAATGTGTAACAACAAATCCTATCATTGTTTACAACTATAATGGGCCAATAAAAAATGTGGAAATGCTGGGTGTGGTGGCCAGGCCTGTAATCCCAGTAGCTAGGGAGGCTGAGGCAAGAGGAAGTTCAGGGACAGCCTCAGCAAGTTAGTGAGGTCCTAAGCAATTTAAGCAAGACTCTGTCTCAAAATTTAAAAAAAAAAAAAAAAAAAATTGAGACAGGGACTTGCTGGGGATGTGGCTCAGTGATAAAGTGATCCTGGTTCAATCCCAAGTATCAAAAGCAATGGGCACAGTTCCTGAAAACTTGCTACATACCTACATGTATACGGACGTTCTCTTGGAGCATGAGCTCTGAGAAGCAGGCCTGTGTCCAGGCTCTCTGCTGAGTCCCTCGACCTACCTACCAAGCTCCTAGCACAGAACAGTTACATCTCAGAAATAAATGAGGGAGCTGTCTCACTCAATTCCAAAACTAAACCCCTAAAATAAGTTTTACCCCGATTCATTAATAAATTAATAAAGAAAATGAGATCAAAAAAAGTAAAGCCCACAGTCATGAAGCAAGTGACTGGGGAGGCAAGACCTGAACTCAGACCACCTGGGCAGACCCAAGTGGAAGGGCCGGGCCAGGGACTGGAGGGGTCCAGGCCCACACACTGCCACCCTCACTCTGCTCAGGTCTGGCCTGAGCTGACCTGGGGGCAAACTCCAGCAAGAAGGGGCTTCTGTGACTGCTTCTGCTCTCAAAGCCTCAGCAAGCCAGAAGGACAGCCCTGCGGAGCATGTTGGGTCCAGAACCCTTGCTGACCACAAATGTCTACAGGGAGAGAGCAGCCATGGAGAGGCTGCAAGGACAAGTGATGACGGGGAGCACTAATGACTCTGCCAGACACCAGGACCCAGGCAAGCAGGTGTCCGCCCACCCCACCAAACCACCACCTTGTCATCTGTGTGCATCCGATGACCTAAGCTTCTTGTCCAAATTATGCCCCTGTGTGACTGTCTAAGATGGGCGACCTCTCTGAGCCTCGGGGTCCCTCCAACTATAGAAAGGCAGAAGGCTTCATGTTGTCTGTCTACGGTTCCTCCCGCCACAAAAGACAAGGACCAGCATCTCAGCAGAACGACTCCATCTCAGCTCTCCCACTAGAGAACTTCCTGGGTCAAAAATCAGACACCCAAGAAGAAAGCACTCACGAAGTCAGGAGAGAGACTGCTCAGGAGACCGTCAGCACCCCCGTGCGGGAGACCTGCAGGGCAGCACTGCCTGCTAATCCAGTGGGAGGAAGCACAGCGGACGTGGCCACGTGGAGTGCCTGGGTGCACACGTCCTTTATGCCACCGCCATTCCCTGATGACAGACCTGCCTCACAGGCTGCTCATCTGGGGGTTGAGCAGCAGGGCAGTCACGGGCCCTCTCTGTGGAGGTGAAAGAAGAAAGAGGAGGAGAAAAAGCCAAGTGAAGCCGAGGAGCAGAGGCAGTGGCAGGGAAGGCCGGGTGTGAAGGCTGCCCCTCCACCTGCATCGCACCCCAGGAGGACCGCTTGCCCACACCCTACAGAACGCTGAAGGGAGGGTGGAGACAATGACCAGCTCCACTGAGCAGTCTGATGAGCCTGTCACTGTCACTCTGCGGGCACTTCACATACAGGAAGCCACTCACCCTCACGAGGTTTCCAGGCCACAGTCCTTAGCTTCCCCATTAGAAAGGACAGAAAATGGAGCGCAAAGAGGACACGGGACCTCACGGGAATGAGACAGCCAGGAATGGCAGAGGGGGGGGCCACACTCAGTCCTGTCTGACTCGGGGTCTGCGCTGGCACACACATGGCAGCCACCCACAGCTAGTACACCAGGGCAGACAAGTCCTGCCATACAGATGGGCCTCGAGTGCTCCCTGCCACAGGGCCCCAGACAGCCACCAAGGCTCAGGCCTGGCCAGTACAGTGACAGCCACCTGTCATGCCCAGAGGCTCGACCATGACAGCAAGAGAAGTGGTCTCCACGTTGTCCCACGGGCTCTCTCCTGGCCAAGGCAGCCACTGCACACTGCAGTGCGTGCACACCACTCGCCCCTCAGCCGCCCGCTATCACCACTGTGCTACTCTCGGGAAACAATTGTTAAAAATAGACAAGAAAGGGCTGTTTTAAATGCTATTTATAAAATGAACATTGACAAATCAATGCCTATTTATCACCTTTAAAGAAAATATAATGGCAAAAAAAATTCTCATTCACAAAATAAACAAAAACACACACTATAACTAGGAATAAACATCAAAGCAGTGCTCATGTGCAACAAGAAAAAAGCTACAATACGCCAGGGTGGCGACACACACCTCTGATCCCAGCACTCAGGAGGCTGAGGCAGGAGGTCTCAAGTTCAAGGCCAGACTGGGCAACTGAGCGAGACCCTGTCTCAAATAAAAAATAAAGGGCTGCGGTTGTGGCTCCGTGGAAGAGCACTTGCCTAGCTCATGTGAGGCACTGGGTTCGATCCTCAGCACCACATAAAAATAAAGTAAAGATACTGTGTCCATCTACAACTAAAAAAATTCTTTTTTCAAATAAAAATAGCTCAGGATGTGGCTCAGTGGTAAAACACCCCGGCTTCAATCCCTGGCACTAGAGGGGAAAACCCTAATACTAAAGGGAGGGACCTAAAACAAGCTGTCCTAACACGGGCATGTTGACATATCCCATAGAGGAAAACAGCACATAAAGATGAGATGATGTCTCCAGGCTAAGCACAAGGGCCACCTGCGCCACCAACATGCCAGGCTGATTCCACCTTAAACAAGTCCTTTAGATTAAGGAACCCGCCCAGCCCAAAGGAGACTGAAAGATGAATAACAGCTAACCCAAGCAAAGTCCTTCAGAGTTCTTCAGGAATAATAAATCCATCATATTAGACAAGAAAATTGAGGAAGGGAGGAAAGAACTAGTTAAAAGTTGGGCTGGCAGAGCTGGCTGGGGCTCAGGGGCAGAGCACCTGCCTGGCACGTGTGGGGCACTGGGTTCGATTCTCAGCACCACATATAAATAAATGAACAAAATAAAGGTCCATCAATGTCTAAAAAAAATAAATTGTTTTTAAAAAGGTGGGCTGGGGTGTGGTCAGATAGAAGAACACCCACCCAGCAAGCACCAGGACCCAGGTGCGGTCCTCTCTCTACTGCCAGGAAAACAGGAGGCAGGGAGGTCAGGAGGAAAAGGACCCAACGACTAGATATGAGACAAGCGACTCTCATGGTGCTACACAAGGAGTGACACACTTATACAAAGAAATGAAGAGCTCGGAAATAGATAAAGTGCATTTAAAATGAAATTTCAAGTCAAGGAAAAAATATGAATTCAATAGATTACAGTGAGACGGTTAGATAATTGCCTGGAAAAATAAGTTATATTCCTATGCCATAATGCAGACAAAATAAATCATAGATGGTATCAGTATTTTAAAATATCCATAATAGCCAACACAAACATACTGTGCATATTATCAGCTTCTCCTAACTGCAACTCTATGATGAGTTGTATTGTCATGCTCATTTTAGATAAAAACTGAAAGAGTTTTATTCTATTGGAAAGAAAGTATTTTAAGCAAATAACCAAACATAAATGTCATAAAGAAAGCAATCACTATGTTATAAATATGTTTTTGACCACAGCCAAAAAGCAAAACCTTATAAACAAAATTTAAACACAAATAACATTAAGAAAAAGATTTGTAGGCTGGGGGTATAGCTCAGGGATAGAGCTCTTGCCTAGAATGTGTAAGTCCCTGGGTTCAATCCCCAGCACCACAAAAAGAAAAAAAAATAAGATTTGCAATGTCTATGATAAACAAGAAAATAACATTTATAATACACAAAGAACTTTTATAAAGCAATAAGAAAAGCACTCTAACTTAGATATATATAAAGAACACAGAAGGATAATTCATAAAATCAAACAGTTAACAATTGATAAATGTCCAGTAAAATAACTAAAATGTCCACTAAAATAACTAAAATAATTATCGCTACCAGTATACTGTCAAATATTTTAAAAGGAAAACAGCTAGTGTTTTGGGGGGAGTTTAAACTGTTAGTATAACCTTTTTGGAGAACAATATAGGAATATACAGGCCTAAAAATGTGTCAAGTCTACTTCTAAGAATGCTGTCCATTTAAAAAATCAGGCCAGGGCTAGGGATATAGCTCAGTTGGTAGAGTGCTTGCCTTGCATGCACAAGGCCTAGGTCTGATCCCCAGCACCATTAAAAAAAAAAAAATCAGAACAAAAAATTTATCTACTGGGCTATTTATCAGAACACTGTTTATGATCATGGAAGGAAAAATCAAAACCAAATACTATTTAGGAATGAAGCATTGCTTAAGTATATAATTCTCTCATAATTGTTTATCTTTTCATTCTCTATTAGAGAAGGAATTTAGAAAGCAACTTGAAAATGACCTATGACAAATGTTAATGTCACATCCAGTGAGTAAATGTCTAGAAAAATCTAACATAAAGGAATATTCACACAAAAACATAAGAGTTTATGTACAAGAATGTTCAAAAAAGCTGAATAAGGAAAGCCTGGCGAATGTACTGATGCTGGTAAGGGGATGGAGCTGGGGACACCATGCTGAGTGAGTTGCCAGACTCAGAAGCTAAGGGCCAGCGCTTTCTCTCATGTGCACATGGGGCGGGGGTGGGGGGGTCGGGTAGAAAAGGGATCTCACAAAAACAGAAACAAGACCAAGAGGACAGAAGGGGGCAGAGAGGAGAGGGAGGCAGGAGGGGGCCAGAGGGAGGCACTGGGGACTGATACCTGCCAAACCGCCACATCCAGGGACAAACACCCGAGAGTGAATGCTGCTCTTGTGTGTGACTGTAACGCTCTAGTTAACAACAACAGGAACACGGTGGTCAGGAGAGCGGGCCAGGGGGCGAAGGGAGCGCGAGAGAGAGGGAAGGTTCAAGGGACGAGGCTGACCACTCACGTCACGTATGAGGGACCCACAGTTAGTGTGACTGTAATGCCCCATAGAAATAAGAACACTCGGGAAAGTGCCCCGGGCAGCAGGGAGTGAGGACCCTAACCCTCCGACAGGAGGACCCCAGAGCACAGCCAGCCAGCGGAGAGCTGCTGAGAGTGGGCGTCTCCCCTCGCCAGCCCTGCACCAAGCCGCCTGGGGACAGATGACACACACACTGTCCCCACAGTGCTCCCAAAAGCCCAGAGGTCTGAGGAGGAGGACAGCACGACTAAAGTACTGCGAGTGGATGAAGCCAGCAGCAGCACGACGGACAGGCCGGTCCCACACCTGTAAGTGCAACGTCCAGTCTCACAGGCGCCACCCTGGGAACAGGGCAGAGGGCAGGGGCCTTGGGTCTTCCCCACGCCTAAGTGGCCCTTTATAGTATTTCGGTAATAACACTTGGAATTTAAAACTTTCTTCAGGCTGGGGGTGTAGCCCAGTGATAGAGCACATGCAAGGCCTGGCCTCAATCCCTAGCACCACGGAAGAAAAGAAAAAAATTAAGTCCAAGGTAAAAGAATGGTGCATTGGAAAATGGAATGCCACAGATCATGAGAAATCACACCATGGAAGACTGGATAGCGCAGAAAAACGCACAACATGCAAAATTACATATAAGAGGAAGTGAGGGGAAAGGGGGGAAAAAAAACAAGAGAGAAAAATGAATTACAGTAGATGGGGTAGAGAGAGAAGATGGGAGGGGAGGGGGGATAGTAGAGGATAGGAAGGGCAGCAGAATACAACAGACACTAGTATGGCAGTATGTAAAAAAGTGGATGTGTAACCGATGTGAATTTGCAATATGTATACGGGGTAAAAATGGGAGTTCATAATCTGCTTGAATCAAATGTATAAAATATGATATGTCAAGAGCTTTGTATTGTTTTGAACAACTAATAATTAAAAAAAAAAAGAAAGAAAAACGCACAACATGCCTAATGAAAAACACACTGTAGCACACAGCAAACAGGACAGTAAGTGCAGCCCCTCCACGACATGAATAGTGCACAATGACAAAGAAGACAGAAGACAGGTACTGAATGTTCATAATGGTCATCGGACTACTGAGGTGACAACAGCCTCTTTCCCCTTTTTCCAAACATAGTTCATTAAACACATACTGTGTTAAAACAAAACCCACTTTAAACGCACAGTATCATGCACTTGAGAACAACATGTGCACACTCACCACACCACAAACTCCTGACTGAAACAACGCGACATGCAAAACATTCAGTGGAAAAGTCACCTTGCTGTAGTAGGAAATGGCCTCCTTGTACTTGTCGATGATGTCCTCGGGGCTGAGGCAGTTCTTGGCACGCCCGATTTCAGTGCTGGTGTCGGGGTTTATGCCGTTGGTCGTGAGGGCACCTGAAAATGCAGGAAACACACAATAATCTTTTGCTTTTTAAGTGTCACTTTTTTGTTAGTTTAAAGAAAAGCATGAATAAGGTAAAACCTAAACACGACCTACTGAACTCTGAACAAGGAAACAGTGTTTAAAGTCTTCACAGACCATCTTCTTCCTCCAAGTCTTACCCCCAAAGCACTACATTAAAAGTTAACTCCGAGTAAGTCTTCCTCCCTGTTGGAACTTTGTATTAAAGAGTATGAAATGCATGGCATAAAAGTGACAAGTTTATAAAAAACCATCTTAGCCGTCTTGAGATGGGTGAAGTCACGGCCCTCTCTCAGCTTGAAGCTCTTCTTGCTGGCAAGGGCCCACACTGCATCCTCAAAGGAAACAAACCATAGGAAACATTTTCTGAACTGCACAGCATTAAAAAATAATAATAATAACCTAAAACTACTACCCTGCTTTCCATGGCTGTCATTTTCTACTTCTGACCAAAGCCAGTCAATAAACAGAACCACCTAATTCCCCGGCCATCAAGCCCCCACAGGGAAGAGTTCTGGAGAAACCGCCATTTTAAACACAACCAACTACATAGAGAATTCTAGCAGGAGAAAAAGGATGAAATGTTCTTTGGTTTCACAGAACACTCCTAAGGTCTAGTAGCAGGAAATGTTGGGCTTCTCTCAACACCCCCCTGCACACTTGCACCCCCTTGTACCCCACCCCGTTCCTTCCTAGGCTGAGGACGAGTTCACTACTGTCTGCAGCTGTGCACAACCAGGATGTGCTACTTGCACTGCTCCCAGCTCCGTGAGCTCTTTGCTCACCCTGGTTTCTAATCTGCATCCAACTTCCTCACCTGTATGTCTTCACTCTCTAATTCTGTAAGCTGCCTCAAATACTTGTTGGACCAAGACAGAAGAGAGAATGAATAGACAGGTAAGTGGAAAGATGAATGGTGACAGACCAACAAATAGTCAGAGAAAATACAAACCAAGAACAAAGAAAATTCCACGTGCAAAATTCTCTCCCAGCCACAAGACAAAAAACTCTAACCAAAATCTCAGAAAGGCAGGTGGCTTGCAGTTTTGTTTCTTATCAATTTTGTAAAAATTACAGCAAGAAATAAGAGGAAAAAACTATAAATAATAACAGGGAAGGACTTACTTAGAAAAATATCTAAAATATGTCCTTTTCAAATAATACATTCAGATCAGCAAGAGCCTGTGACCCAGTCTGTGTGCCACAGAACTCAGGGGTCCCTTGGGAGCAAAGTTCACACAGGGTGGTCATCGCACTACCACAAAGTAGCACCCTGCACTCCTGCTCCGAGGACTGCCCTCCTGTGGCCAGCCCCAAGAGAGAGGAGCTCAAAAGGAGCCCCACTTGTACAGGGCAGGGGCAGGTCCCCAAGGGACAGTGTTCTTGCTAGGAGCTCCGAGGACCAGCCTGGGGGGTTGTAACCATCATGCTATGTTATGTTCACTGCTCTGCGTGTTCCCCAGGCTTATAATACATTCAATTCTGGCACAAATTAGGATTTAATAAACGACAAGGTGTCTTAATTTGTCTCATCAGTGCTAACAAATTACCTTTGCATTATTGTCATTCTTTTTCCCCTAGAGAAAGGAAAGGGGAGCTATCGGGGGTAAGAATGAAGTAGGCTGTTTGCTTCTCACATGGGACCTCATTTCCTCCGTAATGCAGCACAGGATCAAAGCACCGGAGAGGCTCCCAGATGCTACTCCATCTTTGGAGAAAGGATGTCAACACCGAGGGCTCTCTGAGTAACTTAACTCCAAACCCAAGGCTGGAGCAGACGTCATCGACAGTGCCATCTGTGGGCAGGCAGGCAGAGTAGAGCACTAGGGAGCACTACTGCATCAGACTGATTTAATTTCACTCAATAAAAGAATAACAAGGAGCTGGGGATGTGGCTCAAGTGGTAGCGTGCTCCCCTGGCATGGGTGCAGCCCAGGTTCGATCCTCAGCACCACATACAAACAAAGATGTTGTGTCTGCCGAAAACTAAAATGTAAATAAAATATTTTTAAAAAAATAAAATAAAAATAAAAGAATAACAAGCTCTAAAAATCCTAGAGCCCAGTAGACTTGCTCTTTCCTCACAGCCACAGTCCTGACGACCCCATGGAACATTCCTGTGGGCCAGGGAAACAGTGCCTTCCAGACCAATAGCCCTGCACTGCTGCAGGGAACCCGTGTTCGGGCAGGCTGAGACAGCAGCATGCCCACTCTCAGGGAAGCACCTGCAACCCTGCCATCACTAGCTAAGTAGTCGTAAGCTCATACTTCATGCAGGAGTGTATATAAGGCACAAAATAGGAACTCAGAAACACAGAACAAAGCAAGAAAAAGAGGGAGTAGTAAAGCAGAGACCAGTGACTGGAGAGAGAGGCAAAGCCATCGAGATAGAGAAGAGCTGAGATGGGAGCAGTCCTTAGGTGGCAATAATTCCTGTAGCAGCTACCACGCTGGGGTCAATAAGGCTTCAAAGCCATGCCTCCCAACTGCCACCAATACAAGACAGTGATTCCATGAGCCTGGAAGTTGAACTAGCCAAGAGGCACAGCCTGCAGCAGCGAGACACAGCCCTGAGGTAACAGGGCTTGAGAGGGGCCTTCTCCCTGGGGTGCTGGGACACCTAGACAGCCACCTCTGACAGGGAAAGAAGACCCTCCCCTCCAGCAAACACCAAAACAAACTGCAAATGGGTCCGGGATCTACAGGTAAACAGAAAACCTAAAGAGGCTCAAAATCCATGACAAATTCCTTTAGAACCTGGGTATAGTTGAAAGGCCACTGTGACTCAAATGCAGCAAAAAATAATAATAAATAAATATATATGTGTGTGTGTGTGTGTGTGTGTATACATATATGTATATACATACATATATGTGTATATATATGTATATTCAACCTACTAATCATACAGCAAAATACCACAAACAAAGCAATACATAAATGAGCATCTGAGGAAATATTCACAACATACATCACAAAGTGCATATCCCTGAAACATGAAAAGGTCATAAAAGCTGAGAGAAAAGCCAGCATAAATTCAATAGAATATTTTTTAAATGAGCTGAGCTGAGGGCGAGGGATGTGGCTCAGTTGGCAGAGTGCTTGCCTACCACACACAAGGCCCTGGGTTCAAGCCCCAGCACCCCCCCCACACACACACACACGCACGCGCACACGCGCCTTAAGGGTGAAGCCCAATGGCAAAGCACTTACCGAGCACACAGGAGGCCTGGGCCCCACCCCCGGGACCCCACCCCCAGCACCACCATCCCAATAAAAGTGTAGCATCCTACACTTTGCCTAAGAAAGAGAAATAAAAATATTTAAATCTTTGGTTTTTTCCAAAAAGAAGAAGAAAGAGAAAGAGGAGGAAAACCAAGGAACACAAGAGAAAAGCCACCTACAGGGTTAAGTAAAAACCAGGTGCCAAATGAGATGGGAAGTGACACATCTCGAGATATAATTTTTCATATAGTTTTTTACTTTTTTAACCATTATGATGTTTTCTAGACTAAAAATAAATCAATAAAGGTGAGGGAACCTATTGACGGAATACAAACAGAAACAACTACATTTCAAATAAATAGGTAAACACTGATAGGGAGCATCACAGAACCAATCGAGAAGGTCCACCCACAATGCTGCACACAGCATCCTAACACAGTGGCAGAAGGAGCCCCAACAGTCCCTAAATTCCAGCTTCATGCAGAGGTACTGCGGAAGGAGACTGACCAAATCATGCTGCATGCATGTACAAACGTGGCCCAGTGAATCCCGCTACTATGTATAATTATAATACACCAACAAAATTTTTTTTAAATGGACCTGAAAGGTCCACAGAAAGGTATCACATGAAGGTTAAATTCCCTGACTGTAACCACCACACCACTTCTGTGATGACACTGTCCCTGGAAACACACCCGAGGCATTGGGGAAAGCATCAAACCTACAGCTCACTCAAATAGCTCAAAAAAAAAAAAAATACACATGACACACAGAGCTCAGATCATAAAGCCAAGACTAAGCTAACTGCTGGGTCTTCATGAGTACACCAAATACTAGGTACTAATCTTTAAACTGTTTTGTAAGACCTGGGCTTTAAATTGTTTCAAAATCAACAATTAATCCAGGCACAGTGGTACACATCTATAATCCTCACGGCTTAGGAGGATGAAGCAGGAGGATAGAGAGTTCAAAGCCAGCCTCAGCAATTTAGTGAGACACTAAGCAACTCAGTGAGACCCTGTGTCTAAATAAAATACAAAATGGGGCTGGGGATCAGCTCAGTGGTTGAGAGCCCTTGAGTTCAATCTCCAGTGCCAAAAGAAAAAGAAATCAACAATTAAAAATGAGAATTCTGATAAATTCAATAAATTATAAAATAATTCTATTAAAATAGAATGTATTTCAGTAGCAATTGAAGCCCTAAATATGTAAAATTGGAAATATAAATGAAATGAATGTGCAGAAGACCAATTACAAACTAAGATCACAGCTCAGAATGACTGAGTGCTTCACTCCTAACACCTCCCATGTTCCAGGCACTGGGCAGGACAGGGGACCATGCTACCAGAGCAGGGCACATTGTGTTCAAAGAGTCAGCATACCTGTGTGTTGTCCTAGCCACTCAGGAGTCTGAGGCAGGAGGATTCCAAGTTCAAGACAGATCCTGTCTCAAATAAATGAAACGGGCTGGGGTGGCAGAGAACCCCTGGGTTCAATCTCCAGTACCACAAAAAAAAAAAAAGTCACCATCAGGGACACAATGGAGCACACCTATAATCCCAGCTATTAGAGAGGCTGAGACAAGAGGATGGCAAGTTCAAAACCAGCTTGGACAACTCAGTGAGACCCTGTCTTAGAATAAAATAAAAAGGGCTGGGAGTGCGGCTTAGGGGTAGAGTGCTTGCCTAGCATAATATGGGTGAGTCCTTGGGTCCATTCCCGTTTCAAAACTGCAAAAAAAGAGCTT